AACTCCTCCTCACAGTTTAGGCCTGTTTGATCATGAGATGAGGCCAAATCCAGCACTGTTTGACCATTATTACATGTGGAAAATGGACCTGCTGAAACAAAGATGTGTGTGAATTAAGCTAACAGAGTGAGACGATCTTATAAAAGACTCGCAACACAGCTGATATGGGACTCTGGGTTGCAGGATTGATTTTAAACTTCTTTTTTCTTGAATGTAAAGTTTACACTTTTCCCTAAATGTGAATTGAATTAATTTAAATAATAAACTTGAAGCGGCTCAGCTTGTGGCAGTTATTGTGTGTGTGTGTGTGTGTGTGTGTGGACAGTATTGACAGCGCTTCACTTTCCCACATGTGTTTATGTTTCAGTCTTATTCCAAAATGGAGTAAATTGACTGATTTCCTCAACATTCTACACACAATCCCCCAGAATGAGCATGTGGAGAGAGTTTGAAATTGTAGTAAATGTAATAAAAATGAAAGCTGATAAATCAGATGTACATCAGTATTGACAGGCTTTAGCTTGAAGCTCTACATGGAGCTCAGGTTCATTCTGTCTCCACTGATCATTCTGGAGATGTTCCAGCAGCTTCACTGGAGTTCAGCTGTGCTCAATCACTTTCTCCTCATTGCACTATCTTCATTTTGGAAGAATGCCTCCCGCTACAAACGCTCCATTCATCTTCTACATCTGCCCCTCACTACACAAGCCACAACCTCGTCTAAACTTATGACGCCGGCGATTCAAGCCACCGGAGAGAAGCCGAACTCACTGATCACCTAACGTTAGCGGTCCACTTTCGGTAACGTGCATGCTTTAAGGGGAAGTCTGGCGAGATGAGCGTGAATAGAAGGCTTCAAATGAAGAACTCACCTCTCAGCCTCCCGCTGGTCAGCAGATCCATAACATTCCGACAGCTGAAATAGTTCGAAGGCAAATGACCAGGCGATCTAATCCATAAACATATGTCCACAACACCTTCATTCGTCGATATACATCCATGAAAGGTGCACTGATATCCAAACCAGCTGCTGGTGAGAGTGGAGCCAAACTTTCACGCATAAACAGTGGCTGTTTCTCAATATGCGTTCTTCAGCGGTCTTGCGTCCTCGTGTTCTCGTGCAACGTCATCATCAGCTGCCCAAGTTCAGTTCCAATACTCAAGATCGCAAGTACGGAGGACGCGTGAAACTTCCCGGATGTGTTCTTGATAGACTTGAGCACCGAACTCACTCTGGAAGTCCCAGAAGTCATTGCGACTGGAGGTGGGAAGCGCTGCACTTTATTTAGATTTATTATTAAAGTTTGGAGTATTACTTATTTAAATCGGGAGTTTACCTAAATGAAACGGTGAAAGTAAACATTAACATGAACATCTTAATAAAGGAATAAACATATTAAGGGTGTTTGTTTGCTGAAATTCGTATTAACATCTGTTTTATTCATATTGTGCAACATAGATTTATAATGTTTTTATGCAAAATATATATTTTGAAAAGGGGAAAAACAATAAATCGTTGTATGAAGGCTGTAATGTTTAAATAATTTCCATTTAAAACGCGTGAAGGTCACGTGACCATCAGGAAGAACGCAGCATCCCATTTTTCAAAGGACGCGTTCTCTGCCCTCGCCGTCTCCTGGGTTCGTTCTTCTGAGGACACCTGGCAACACCGCTCTCCAGAAGAACACAAGTCCGTTCTCTGCGTTCTTGGAATTGAGAAACAGCCATAGTAGCGATCTGATCTACAAAATGGCCGCCGGCCTTTGCACTCTGAACTCTTGACCGTGACTCCAAGGAGCCAATAGCTTAAAGGGGAAGTATCACCATCCAATGAGCTTTCCAAAACTGGAGACGGTCCCGCCTACTCTCCCGACAAATTCATGAATGGACTGCGTGCAGAGACTTTAGCTGCGTCCCAAATGGCACACTATACACTATGCACTCATGCACTATGTACTTCTGCACTTACACACTCAACAGGATAGTATATGTATGTAGTGTTGTCCCAAATGGCACACTAATGTTTTTTTTTACTATACGGAAATTCAAACCGTTTCCCTGATGCCAAATCATTGAAGTAAACGGCCGAATTATCAAATAATACCTATCGTGAGTATTGCCGCATTCACCATCGGGAGGCGCTATAATCACTCTCGTAAAAGAATTTTGCTTTCACTATCCAAAATAAATAAAGTTATTCAACATGTCCGTCCGATAGCTCCGCCCCTTCCGCTACGTAAGCAAACCTGTAGTCGTTGAGTGAGTGAAGTGTCCATCATTACACACTTCATTTTAGCGGCTGAATGAGTGCATCATCCAGGTAATTAAAGTGCACTTATTGTTTTAAGAGTTTTCAGTGTGAACGCACTACTTACACTATTTATACTACAAAATGGCGTAGAATAGTGCATAAGTATGCGATTTGGGACGCAGCTTTTGATTCCGGCCAAATAAGCTTAAGATTTCCAATCATGTTGAGATTACAGAGTTACTTATCATGAATGGAGTAAAGCCATGATAAACATTACATTCACACAGTTCCTATTAAGTGGCAACATCGTTTTTTAAGTGGGAAAAAAAAAAAAAAAACATTTTAATAAAATTCTGAAATGAGTATTACCCAGCAAGTGATAAGACAACCTACACATCAAGCAGTAACCCTGTTGTATCACGCCAATTGTGACTCTCATATCAATACACCTGAACGTCAGTCAGTTATAATGACAATAAGAAAACAATTTCCTGCTCGACTGCAACAAACAAGAGGAGGACATTTCTGGCCATGGAGTAGCTTTTCATACTTATACTTGTGTTAAATACATTCGAGTTTTAAAAACTTCTATATCAGTAAGGGGTTTAAACTCATCTCCATCATCATCTCACCAGCTCTCCAAGAGGTTTCCTGGACTTCCAGCATAGAATCGCCCCACACGCTCAGTTCTCCTCTAATTACCACCCTGCAGGAGGACACATGCCCACTTCTACAACCCTGACACATCGTGACATTAAGTATTGGAACATGCATTAACAAAGGCGCTTCATTCACAATCATCCATACACTTATGAAGACTCCTCTCACGAATATCAGCCAATACTATTAATCATGTCTGCTGTACATGTGCCATGTTGCTCAGATTTCATTTATAATTCTCTCTTGTTTTCCATTTTAGAGTTCAAGACTGCCAGCTCCTGAACAGCCCTTATTCAACCCATCACACTCTTCATCCATTCCTAATGCATTTACACTCTTCGCAAAGATACTTTCTGCCTATACAGCCCACACCCTTGATACCATATTCACATATACCCCCCCACCCTTTACTCTTCATATCACTATTGACAATATTTAGCACTCATAATGCTCCAATGCTGACTATCATTTGTACTTCAGCTATAGCAGAGTCGCTCCGCCGAGCCTCATTCTCCCTCTGCACCCCCCCCCCCCTTCTTCCCATTTATAGATGACACAACCGCCCTGTCACACGATTCTGATTTAGAGATGCTTATAGCAGTTCTTGCTCCACAGGTATCCCCCAGATCAACTCCCAGTCACTCTTACACAGGGTGTCTCCGGAGTATCAGAAGGTGTTGGGGGCTGATAAGTCAATATAGAGGAGTTTGAGGGCTTAAAGTATTAGAAAGTCTTAGATTCATTAACAAGGTAATACATTTATTGTTGTACAAGGTATCATCGTATGCTAAAGTTTGACTGTATTCAAGCCGTGAATATCAGGATAATAGGTAGTTACGTAATCAGTAGAATTCTACTAAGGTTTGACAGCTTGCCGCTTGTTTACTGCAACACTATCAGTCTGCAGCTCTATAGGTGATGACCTGTCGAATCGGCTAGATTTTAATCTACATGTGTCTGCATTCGAATGTTTAGTTGGATTAATTTGTTACATTTTAATATTTAGTAAATATTCCGTAAGATAAATCTCGCCAGCTTTTTTGATTGAAAGAGATGATAAGGTCTTTAAATGTGTGGGAAAAG